TTCTTACTTAATTACTCTTTCATGAACTTAAGCCTTCTGGTTAAGCCATGTAAACATTTAGCAGCTTTTGTGTGCTGTGGAAATGTGCTCCTTGTGTCCATTGAGCTCTACATCTAGTACCAACCATCTTGCCACCACAGTGAGCTTCCCAGCCTTCCTCCCATTGCCCCCTGGGGTAACTTTGATCCCAAAGATCTTTGCCTCTCTCTCTATCCCAGTTTAGAGTCACTCAGCAGGAGCTGACAGAGCAAAGAAGAGCTTTAGGCAGTGCAAGGCTAGAAAGATTTTGTTTGTCTGTAGGTGAGAAGCTCACCTGCAGTAGCTTCAGTTTATTTTCAACAAAGCAAGAGCTTATTAGGTCAGCTAATACATTCCCCAGTAGCTTGGTAGATAGAGCATGTTTAGTGCTGGAACTGCTCTGATGTTAAAACAGAGAGTCTGCACCTTGCTCAGGTTACTTGGTGGGTGATCAAGCTGCCACTGATTTTAAGGATGAGGAGCCAGGCCTAAAGCAGTCAGATAATTGTTATCTTGTTAAGAAGCCTTTTCTGCCTTGGAATAGCTTTTTACTTACCATCTTTATGCTCCTGTCACTTCTTTATCCCCTCAAACCATTCTGAGATATATTTTTTCCTCCTAACTGGCTTTTGTCTTTTTCAATAAGCTTTCATACCCTCAGCTGTGGGATTTATCATCTGTATTTTTGGCTTTTCAACTCTTCCAGAGGGATTGAGCATCTTTGCGTCACTGATGATTCATGTCCACTGTCTCTGTGTCCCATTAGCTTTAGTAGTCAGTTTTTAGTTAGTTTTAATCAGCTATTGATGTTGCCAGACTTTTAAGCATTAATAAGTTTAATTAGCAGCTCTGGAAAGCACCAAGTATCACAATTTAAAATGTTGCAGTCAAAATTATATTTGTACACATAGTTGCCTTTTGAAGTGGGGCAGTGGGTAGCAGTTTGCTGTACTAACAGCTGCTTTCTGAATGCCTCCAGGGTGTCAGTGGGAGCTGCTTCCTTGCACAGGGCTGAGACAGCACTGCTCCACTGATTCCAGCAAAGCCACAGCACCTGCTGCCTTGGTAGAGCTGCCTGGGACAGTGACAAAGGGATTGTAGTAACTTGATGCTGATGCAGAAAGATGGAACCACTGCCTGGCCAAAAACCAGTGAATGGTGGTGTCCTTCTGTGGGAGGCAGAATGTCCCACAGAATTTTTCCAAATGGAAGCTGCTGGCTCACCAGCAAGTTGGGCTCTTGCCCATGTAAGAAATTCTCAGCTTCCACTGAGCTTGGCACCATTTTGCTTCTTCAGCCTCTGCATCTACTGCTGGTAGCAGTGGGATGTTCTTTATGTGAGATAAGAATTTTCATGTCCTCACCCATGGATTGCATGTGGTTCAAATCTGCACAGACTTCTTCTTCTTACAAAGGTGAGATCAAAGGCAGGGCCTTTTTGGAACATCTGTTACCTCATCTGTGTTACAGGAAAAGTCAGGGATGCCCACTCCTACCACATGCCAAAGCATAACTGTTGAGTCCCTCAGATCATATTTCTCAATTATCTCTTAAGAAACTATCATGCTAAAGTGATATCTTAAAAATCAGACTATTTATGCATTTTTTTATTTTTTTTTTTCAATTTGAATATTTGGAGATTGTTTTAATTGCAGAGACTAGTAGGAAAGTTGTCCTATTTAAAATTTTACTGATACTTTAGCTAAAAGCATGATGCTTCTTCTCCCCCATGAAAGTAAGTGTCAATAGCATTTTAATAGGTTTTGCAGTGCAGATATTTCAAAACATTGGGGAGATTACTTCTGGTGGATAATCTCTTACGGTTATTAAATATCCTGGTCCTTTCAAAATTAATCCACTGGGTTTAGTGCCCTTTCAAACATAAACTTAGTCAGTTTAGCTCATTGTTTAACCTTCACCATTTTTTCAGTAAGTGAATCCAGGTCTGATAATTAGTAAAAATGCGGACAAAACATGCTAAATTAGGACTTGATAAATCTGAAAGTAAAAATTAAGACTGATGCTTGAAGACAACTTTTTATTATTAAGTGTTAAATTATATTACAGAGATAAGGGTAAACAGATATTAGTGGATTAACTGAGTCTCAAAGTCATTGTCAGAGCCAGCAATGCAGCCTTATTTCTTATGACATTATTTTCAGTCTGTTGAGTTCTTCCCTACCCTGGTTTTTTACCAGTTTATTAACAAAGAGTGAAAAAAACCATGGTCTTAGAGTAGTGGTACTTTTAGAGGTAATTGAAGTACTGGGATTAAGACACTTCAGGAGAACCCCAGAACTTGCAGATGGTGATAAGAGATGATGACTCACCTGAACAAACACAGAACCTCCCTTGGACAGACTGTTGAGACAAATAAGTGTCTGGGGGTTCATGAAAACTGCCTCTGTGCTTAGGAGGCATGGATGCTTCTGGCAGGGACCAAAAAAGATGCCTACCTTGAGCCATGCTGCTGCAGAAATACTCACGATAGCTGCCTGCCCGCAGGTTGCTGGTAGTTTACAGGGCTGTAATGAGCATCTTCAGGCAATTTAAACCTGCCCTGATATTAAAGGAGCAGTGCCCGTGTTCGTCTCCCTGTTGTGGGTTGTACTCATCCGCTGCTCCCCTATCTTCAGCTCCAGGGGTAGTGTGACTCATTTATAGAGGAACCCAAAGGTTAATCTATATGAAGGAGAAAATTAAGGTTGTTTCTTGGTTAGATCATGCGCTGTCTTCACATGTGGTTGCTTGTATAGCTTGTGTCTCTTGTGGCTTTTAAGCTGCTTTTAGAAAAGTCAAAACAAAATTTTTTCAAGTTTAACAGTGTCCATTCAGTTTTTGAAGTCTCATTCATAGACGTCAAGGACTTAATCAAACATCCTTCTGTAAAGCTTGAGTGTTATTTATTACTCCTCTAGGAATTCGGTGACTATGATGTCCCTTTTTAATCCATGGCACTGTTGGGATTCCTTCCAGTACTCTTTCAGCTTACACCATGGCTTAGTTGATTTGTCTATTTTATTTGGATTTGCTTTCAGGTTATTAACTGTAAATTTATGTTAATTCAGAAATTAGCGTATACCATGTTTTAGAAGGAAACAACAAAAAAATATCTTAAGAATGTTTACTCTTTCTGTTTTCTACTTATGTCAGCTAATATATCCAAGGCCTGATGGCCATTATACACTCCTGCAGGCCTCTCTGTCTTTCAGGGCTCATGCTTTTAGTATAGAGGGTTGGGCTGGGCAACTGCCTTTGTGCAGCAATGGGTTGTGGTTTTCTGGGGGGGGCTGAGGCTGTTTGAATAATTATGCAGCTGCTCGGACAGTTGTGTTCACATTGATATAGCATTATATCATTATCGAAATGCTGGTAAAGCATCTTTATCTAGTACACCATAAATGTTTTTTTTTGAGAAATTCTGCACATCTGCAGGGTGATTATGGATCTCGTGGGAAGTACGTTATTTTTGCTATGGTGACTATGTATTTTCTATCCAAACAGTCATTTGTTTTACATTGATGAAGAGGAAAAAAAAAAGGAGAGGTTTCCGAGAATAACTAGGTCAGAAGAAGATTTCTTCTTTTCAATTAGAGCTTCTGTTTGTTGTCCATGGTTCCCCCTGTAATTGTGGGGTGGTTAGATGTTCAAGAGAGTACAGGAAGGAGACAAGCAGGCAAAGCAGCTGCTGCTGGGGAAAAACTGAGGTCCAGTTTCAGGGAAAGCACCTGAAAGTGTGTCCCAGCCAAAACCAGGACAAACTTAACACTGAGAGATGAGCTCCCAAAAAGTAATGAGATTAGAGGTTAGGAGCCAAAGAAGTGCTAACTTTTGGGGGTCAGGTGCATTGGGAGTGACAGGTAGGAAGCATGCTGAGATGCTGAGACTGCCTGTTATTACTCTGTGTTGAAAGCATGTATGTGCACAGTCAATATTTAAAGGGATTTCTCTTGTTGAATGCTCCCAAGTTTAGCGTAACTGCTAATTTTGGATATTTAGAGATAATTGCTATGCAGTGATGAGCACATATTTGAATTTTTCTGACATTTACAGAGTATTTTAAATGTCAGAAGTGGCTAAGTAAGGATTGATGTTTCCATTTTGCAGTTATGTGGTGGAGGAAGAGTCTGAACTGCGTGCTTTCTTGTTTACTAGTGGTCATAGAAGAAATCTTTGCCAAACCACAAAGAGCACATGAAACTTCTTGCCTTCTTGCCATATGCCAGATCCATTCATTAAACTGTGCTCTGATTTTCTCTGTTTTTTTTGCCTTGAAAACTGAATATTGTAAGTTCATCTGATGATAGATGAGTAGCAGGTATCCAATGCAATAAAAATCAGTAAAAGTAGTAATTAACACTTTGAGATCAGAACCTGATCTCAGACAGCTGAAATCTAAAAGCCACTTAATCATAATAGTTATGCTTGTTTTTTTATCTTTATATACAATAAGTTTATTTATTTTATGTTGAACTATGTGATGGGCTGAGGCTGAGATATGATTGCTGATTTCAAGGGATACAATGATGATGAAGTCTCTGTTCCATGACAGAAGAAATAAGGAGTTCAGCTGCCTTAGGACTTCTTGGAGGTTTCCAAGTTAGGGAGTATTTTGGTTGCTAAAATGCAAATTGGAAACCTGGTCAGAAACTTATTTGCATTGTCAGGCACTTAAATAGCTTTGAAATATGCCCATAATAGATTTCCTTTCATGCAAGTCTGTGTTTATACTTTCCTATCAAATAAATTAGTGAGAGGTATTGCAGTTAGAGAATATGTGTTTTTCTTTGCCACTGTAGTTGGTGATTCTGTTGCAATTTAGAATAGGTTTTAGGTTTGCAGAGGACAACATGGGTAAGTATGAATATTTTCCTGAGCATTATTATGTGTCAGCCTTTGGTCTAATACAAGTTGTGGTAATATCAGTCAGGAAAACATAAATACAAATTTTGACTCAACTTTTTTTGCTTCTAATTCCCTAGGATTATGATGGCTTTTTTGAATCAAAGGAGAGCAACACTGTCTTCTCCTTTCTTGGACTGAAACCTACTTTGGCATCAAAGGTCAGTGTCATGTTGCAGACTTTTCATGGAATTCTTGAAATAGTGAGAATGAATTTTCTTTGAACAGAAAGAGTCCTGTGTGTTCAGATGCACCACTGCCCTGATCTATACCTTGCCCATATCAACTCAATGCTAATGAGGTAATTGAAATGGTTGTCAGGAAAAGCAAAGCATTTTAAATGAAACCAAGCATTGGGAGTTGATTTGAGGCAGCAGATAAGTTTAAAGAACACATTCTCCTTCACATTATCAATCTAAATTGGAAGCAACTGGATGAATTATAAGAGGAGACAGAACTAGGATCTTAAGCACTGGAATGTCTATAGCCTGGCATAATGGCTCAGCATTTATTCATTAAGCATTGATTTTTTAATTTTCTTTTTGGTAACGCTGAAGTGCTGGAGCAGTCAAGAATTATATTAACTTTTTGGTTAAGAATTCAGTTTTAGCAAATACGTATATACAAGTCAGAACACAAAGCCAGGTAACATCTTTCTATTGATACCAGTATAACAGGAAATTTTATTGCCATATGGAAGCCTGGACACTTGTTCAAAGAGACTTTATGGTGCACCTTCTGGCAGTAGATTAGACACATAGGGGAGGATTTTTCTTCCCTTGGATACTGCAGATATAGGTGTGTTTGGTAGTAGTACTGTCTCAGGCCTGGATGGTAGCTCTTGTGTATCTATAGAGCTCTGCTTCCACCAGGAATTAATTTACTTATGGACCCCATGAGGGACAGGAGTGGGAAGGAATCTCAGCAGAGAACTGCAAAAGCAGGTTATTTTGGCAGCCTGCCTCATTTTGTAGCTTGGAGAACTAGTCCTAGAAAAAAGATTGTGTTCTACTACAATCTGAAATGCCACCTTCTGTGCAGCTCTGTTCCTAGAAAATATCCTGTTGTAAACCTGAAGGAGTGTCTCTGTAAACTATCCACTTCGGTCTGGTAGCACTACAGAGGATGCATCCTCAGCTGCTATGTGGACCAAGGTTAGGGACACCTTATGGGCAAGGGGCACAGGAGATGTGAGTGTATTCATAATATTATCTTAATAATAATCAATATTTTGTTTTTTTCTCTTCAGTAGGCATCAGAACACTAGAAAGCCCATGTGAAGTGTCAACAAGCACATTCCTGAGTGGATGACCCTGTTCTTCAGCACATAACAGCTTCCCTAATGGATCACTGTGATAGAGCAAACATGCATCTTTAGTAGTAGTCTGCTTGCCATGAGATGGTGCTCTCCGATAGTGTGGAGCTAATGACACACATACGAAACAGGCCGGGCTACTCATCTTCCTTTTTAATAGTACTCACTGTTGATGTTTCACTTTTGTCTTTGGATTGCTCTTGCAAATGGCCCTGATATTCTAACAGACACATATGTTTGAGAGTAAGGAGTGGAAGTGTAGGGCTTATGTCATTCATGGATATACTTGTGTAGTCAGATTTCTTACTGTTTTTAATTCTTCCCAAATTAGCTCATCATGATAGTTAAAGTGCTGGTGGTTATTAGTCTGTGTTGGCTATGATCCAGAATATAAAAAACATGAATCTTGAGATCTCAGTCTAAGCAAATAACTGCTGTATTTTTGCTCTACATTTATTTATTGTGATGTTTATTCCAGATCATGGTTATTTTAAGAGACATGGGCTGCTAATATTGTTCATGAAAACTTGATTTGTCTAATGATGCACATTGCAACTGACTGTTTAAAACCAGTTCCTTTCATGAGGGAGGTGCCAAAGTGAAATATTTTGACATTTCCTCTTCCAAAAGCGGGTGAAATGTGCATGAAAATGCTTGGTGGAAATACTGGGGAGTTCAGAAGAACTAAAGGGGTCTCATAGCTAATGGTAATATGAAGTTATCTCTTAACTGAGAAGGTCTTAACGCCCACAGTTGGAGCTTTGTAGTTGGTCTATCTTGAAATTTTGCCAAAACCTTCAGTTTACCTCTGATAACACACAGCTCCACCCCAAGCCACATGAGAGTCAGGGGGATACTCTGAGAGTCAGGGCTCAGTCTCATGGGTGGTTAACCCTCTACCATGGTCCAAGAGCACGCCTAACTTGCCTAGCTGTTTTCCTGGTTATATCCCCAGATGTGGTCATGTGGTGGTGCCTCAAAGACAGTGAGAAAGCTGGGGGTGTGCTTTGCTGGATGAGACCACAATGGCAGCTCAGCTGGGGAACAGGAGCCAAGTAAAGGAAGTGGAGAGTATTCCAAGGAGACTGCATTGATGCGTAAAGCAGAACTTAGGCCCATGACTTGCCAACAAACATTAAAAAATACATTTTAGAGAGAAGTCAAATTGCATTATGCATCTTGAATCAAGTTTGGCTTTGTATCTTTTACTCAAGTGATTTCATAATGACAGGGTAGTGCCATCGCAGTCTTTGGGTAATGAAAGACGAGCATTATGTGGAAAAGCATCTTTGCAATCACAGTACCACTCAGACTGTGTGGCTTGAAGGGAGCTAAACTTGTAAAAAGTGTCACACTGTCTTGTGCAACAAATCACATGTTCTGTTAACATCAGTAAACATGGCATACAAGACATGATAGTTGGAAGGGACAACAGCTGGAGGTCATCTGGCCCAGCACTGTCAAAATCAGGGTGAACGACAATGCTGACTTGGAACAGATATAGGTTTGTCTAGCAGAACGTTAAAAATATCCAAGGATGAAGATCTCTTAACTCTCTAGGTAACCTGTGCCATTGCTGCAGTGCTTTCCTAGTGAAAACTTTCTTATAAAGTCCAGCTTTGACTCCTAGGCTGTAATTTGTGGCTGTGGCCTTTGCTGAGTTTTCTGGCACTCACAGAAGGAGATTGGCACCATTCTTCTTGCCCTCAAGATAGTCATCGTCTACCATTAGATCACCTCTTAGCCTTCTTTCTACCAGACTGAACAAACCTAGGGCTAGATGGAGCAAGAGCATACTCAGATTTGAAGTCTGTGGTTGTATTTACTGCTCAAAGTCTTAGCCACGGCACTTTCTCTACAGGAATCCCGAATGTGTGTTTTTAAGAATTGTTGTCTGTGTTATGATACTGTGACATTCTTGTAACCAATCCCATATTTTCACAAGACTTGAACCTCACTATAAGAAGGGAATACGACATGAAGTGGAGCTGTACATTGTTAACTTCAACAAGTTAACAGGGGAAGGAACTATTCTTAAAAGGAAGGTAAATATTTAACTTTGTAAATGAATACAGATATAAATTTACATAGTTGCGCAGTTGATTACAGAGAAGCCATCCTGGATTTATCATGTACTTGATACGTTGTAAACTTTTAGAACTGCCTGAAGTCCCAGGTTTGAAAAATTTACCTAAGTGTGTAAGTATATACACATGAGTAATCCTGGGCAAAATCCCAGGCTTACTGATGTGAAAGGCAAAACCACACTGGTTCCTCCAGGGATGAAATTAGTTTTACAAAACTCCTCTTGAATTTAGATAAATGTAGAATAGAAGGCTCTCATTTAGTGGAGAGTTAGTCTTGTTACAGCTGTTAAGTAAACCTAGCTTATTTCAGAGCACACCTGTGGGCATAACCTGTGTGGAGGACAACACTAGCTCTGAAGATATTCTGCTTGCTTGTGTGGATTGGCAGTGTAAGTCCCTTAGAATATGTGCTTTTGAATTATAAGTGGCTAGCTTGAAAAAAAAGAAAGAAGAAGTATATATATATATATATATATATAAAAGGATATTATTTGAATGTGAATTTGGTCTGTTGTGTGACAGCCTTATTTTTGTAATTAAACTAAGTAGAGTTCTAGTTTGTTACACAAGATGATCTGGAATTTTTTAAAACAGTTTTGTAATAATGAAATGTAGCTATCAGGTAACTGAAAAGGTCTGGGGAAACTAGAGATAGTTATTGAAAGAAATAGCAAATTCTTAATTATCTTCAAAATTTTTGCGTATAAGGGTATGCTTGAGAACCAAAAGGTCCAAATTTCTAGCTAATACTTCTAACTACTCCACTTTTTAAAAGGGAGAGCAGTGTGAATTAAACTGTAGATCTTTGTACCTAGCTGAAGCTGCTGTGTGGGCTGACGTGCACATGCACATTCACTGTATCAGTGGCTTTGATAGAGGTGGTTTTGTTTGTGCCACACATTATTGGATAGTGCCTTCCCAGAAAGAGGACTGTTTCTGTAGGGTCTTCTTAGATATGCTTAAACTTTGAACAGAGAAAGGGGTAGTTTCTATATTGCCATTTTTTTAATAATACAGTAAATTGGTTTCGAGGCCTGAGTCAAAGAGCACATGCTTTGTAAGACTGAAACAGGTTTTGATGAGTCTTCTGATCTTCTGTTTTTTCTTAGGTGATTTTCTTTTTTTTTTTCTTTTTCCTATTTGTTGACTGTCTAGAATCAAACCTTCCAAGGGAAGTGGACCTGCAGTAAAGCCCATAAATCCATGTTTACACTTACTTTACAATAAGTCTCTGATTCAAGTGTTGAGCAGCTCAAGTGCTGTGACTGACTGAAGTGAAGAGTAGCTGCCAAGCTCTCAGTGCATCTCCTGGTTGTCCCTCCCTGCCCTTTTCCCCCATCAGGCCATTATTTGGGGCAATACCACAGTTCAGATGTAGGACCCTGAAATTTTAGGCAGTGCCTTGTGGCACTTCACAGGAGGGCAAGAATGAGGTGATCACCAGGAAAGTGCCAAATCCCATTAGTCTTTAGTGATTTACTGATTACACCGGATCTTGGCACGGACAGTTAGAGGAGGATGGAGCCCTGTCTGTTCACCCTGCACAGAGAGCAGGAGTGGCAGACACGGTGCAGAATGGCCCACGGCTTGTGATGGCACCCTGACCAGGGGTTCTCACAGGGGCCTTTGGCAGGCAGTGCCACGTGTGAAACCACATAGCACTGCTTTCCACAGGGCTCCTGCTGCACCATGGCCTGTCCTTCACCCTCTTGCTCCCTAAGGAATTTGGCAGGGAAAACGGAGAACAGTGTCTTGAGAGCAGTCCTCCAGCCAGGGCAGATCCAGCTTACTCCCCTTTCCCTACTCTTCACCTCTTCCTAACGTGCGTCATCCTGTCCTCTGTAGACCTACATGTGTGCAAAGCTTCCACTCCCAGCCATCTGTAACATCCCTGTGAGGCACAAATGCAGAGCTGGTGTTCACCTTCACGGCGTCAGTGTTCTGTAACTTGGTAGGGGAGGGAGCACGTTGCATCCTAGGCCATGTACACATGATGTATTAAACTGTGTTCATCTAATAAAAAGTTGTAATTCAAAAAAGACATTTGCTCTGTGTTTTGTATGTGTCAAAAAAAACAATGAAAAAATGTCTTTATTCTTGCTGTCGCTCTGGTGACAATCAGAGTGCTTTGGTTTGGGCAGCTTCTGCAGATAGAAGCACTGCAGAACTTTTCACCTGGGAGGGGTGAGCCTGATTCTCTAAGATGTTTAGGGGCTTTGAACCCTGGTGTCTTTATGGGAATTACAATGTGCAGAATGCCTGCTGTGCTAGGATGTCCCCAGGTAAATAGTAGTAAAGGAAAAAAAAAAAAAGGGGGATGATTTATTGTCTTTCAGGTTTTGTGCTTGGGTTAGCTGATAAATACCACAAAAATAAAGGACAGATCCTTTGGGACGACTTGAACACTGAGGCCAGGAAGTTTCCACATACTAAAGTTTTGCTCCTAGATAAAGCTAAAAGCTTCACTGCTTTTTTATTGCCTGAAAGAAATATGAGTTCTTGGTTTGCCTATCCACTTTGTTGATCCATAGAAGGTAATTAAATATGTTTTACCAGGTAAGTGTCTAATCAAAGGTACAGGCTTGCGTCATTACAGTCTTCCCTTGATTCTCCATCTAATATGTATTTTTTAATACATATTATTTCTATTACATATTATTTAATACCTTATTGTTCCTGTCTAAAACTTGTCTGCTGTCTCATGTGAGAAATGCCATGAAAACTTTGCCTGCTTGTGACTTCTGCACTTTGGAGCAAGGTTCTTTGCTGCCTGCTCTGACACAGGAGGTATGGAAGGAAAAGGCAAACCTGAAATGCCTGAAGAGGGATCCTCAGCTGAGGGAGGACCAGTAGCACCTTTCTGAAGTGAGCAGAGCTCTAGCAGCTCAACTGTGTTACGTCATGGTGGGTAGAAGCAGACAGATTTCGCTGCAGGGGTGAGCAGGAGCTTCTTGATTTGCAGAGAGGAAGTGATGTTCTGTGTCACTTTGCTCATGTAGCATCGCAGCCTGTGTGTAAAGTCGTGGCCCTCACATTCCTCTTACCCGGCTATTGAGGAATACAGAGAGCAGTAAGCAGGCAAAGGTTACACAGTTCAGGATGGTTTGCCACAGTCATCCTCCCATGCATCCCACCTCTGTGTCTGCTCCCTGTGCCAAGGGTGCATCAGTGGGAAAATGCTTGAAAGTCATCGCTGTGTTTGCACACATGTGTCTGCCAGTCTGTCTCCATCTCATTCCTACCCCAGAGCTGTTGGTTTGGGCTGTGAGAAGGCCCTCCTGAACTTGCTCATTTGCTTGATCTGCCTTTTAGGTGCCAGAAGGACTTGCCTGCTTCATTCCAATAGACCAAGCTGTCACTGAAGATCCCTTGACACTCTCATCTGAAGTGACCTCCCTCAGGTTGCATGGTGCAGCACAAGCAAACATTCTGGGTGCAAGTCCTCCATACATGGATTTCTTTAAAGGTGACCATTGCATGTGACGGAATCCCCTGATGAATATGGGAAACACTAGAAAATTATAGGATGAAGGAATTAGCACCCTAAAGAAAAGGTCAGCTGGAGCCTTGAAAAATTGTGTTTAGAAGGCAGGAAAGAATTTATTAGATTGGAAATAGGGAGTTCAGAAGCAGAGTCTTTGGGAAATGTGTGCCACTATCTAGCTGCTTGGTTGTCCTATCCAGTTTGGCTGTCCACAGCACATATATTTAGTTCAGGAGAGGAACCTCACTCTCCAGGGAAAGCACACACTTCTGGCCATGACTCCTCAGTCCAGGGAAATACTCAGAAATCAAAAAGTTCGTGTCTTAAAAATCTCTGCTCTAGATGCACTCAGATGCAAAGCCAGTAGTAGATAGACACAGGAAGAGAAAACCCTTTCTTCATGTCTGGGGAAGCAGGCAGACCCTGTACACCCCATCCCAACCCACAAGGATGCCCCAGTGGGCACCCTGTAAGAAAGGATTCTTAGGTGGTGATGCTGCCGTTCTCAGAAAACACCTCACATCCTGCAGCAGCTCTGCATTCACCTGTGGATGCTTCCTGCTCCCTGCTGCTTGAGGAAGGAGGTATTTTTCATATACCAGGAATAAACAGCACACTGGTTTGG